ACTGTCCAAGCTGGGGCTCGAACCAGCAACCTTCCGATTACAAGACGAACTGCCAACTCTTGAGCCACGATCGCCCTTAGTGTCTATTGCAAAAAATTCTACATTGATTCGTGCAGTTGATTTAAATATTCTCCTCCCATGTCTCGATGCATGTTCAATCGTCCGGGTAAGTAAATCTCCAAAAGTTGATTCTGTTCATGTGGACATCCAGATGAAAAGAATCAACTTTTGGAGATTCTCCTCCCATATTTTGCATCTTATTGAAGGAACGCTCAGAAACATACATGCAAACATCTTTAAGTTGTCACCTCTTACGCATAATCTTCTCACTGCTATCTCTTTGTAAATACTAACAATACAATACAATTTTTTATTATTTTTTACACCTAAACCCAGTTTGTGCTGATGCAACGTGTTTATAAATCTGTCCCTTGGTGCGCAGCTTTCTGACTTTTTTTCCCCTTCTGGCACTGTATGATGTCAGAAAGAGAGAATAACCTCCATATAATCAATTCGGGTACAGAGGTTTAGCTGTGAGCCACCTGCTATCCGTCTGATTGAAATTTGTAGCCAATCAGTAGAAATCTGGCTTACAAGGTGAAGGAACAGCGCTGAAGCTTGTTTAACACAGCAGATGAAATGACAGGATGCAACTAAGTCCAATATAAGATAAATAAGGATTCCTTATTCTGGGAGTCATGCATAGCTTCCCTAATAAAGTCCAGGCAGAAATTCGCATAATCAAATCCACAATGTTCCCCTAAACCTAGCCAAATCCTTTGCTAGCATAACCACATAAATATTAATCATTATGTAATGTCCAGGATTTAATATTCTACCGAAAACCACAAATTGTTGATGGCTTTAAGATTTGTTAACAATGAGCATTTTGCAGGACAGCTTGCAAAATAACAATGTGCTTTTTATACTGATGAAACAATATCACGTTTCCCACAAAATACATTTGTTAATGAGCATTATATGCACACCAGTTTAGAAAAACAAAGGCATCACTTTGACGTGATCTAGATAAACATTTGAAATTAGTGATTTTTCTCTACTTACAGGCAGAATGGAGACTTTGGGGAAATTATGCAGAGTTTCCCATTCCCGCTTCAGATACTCAAGGGAGCCGACAAACACAATATGCTTCAGCTCATGGTAGTGAAAGTTGCTTGCTCTCAGAGGCATCACAAAGTTTCGGACACCGATCAGCGCCGATTTCACGTCTCCAAATATGCACACGACCACATGACCGCTCAGAACAGTCATGGCTGCCTCACTCCGTGTCTGAGAGGGAAAGAAAGGGATAAGGGATCAATATGTTCCTGGCTGGAATTTGCATAAATGGGCATTTCCAACAAATGTTAGCGCTTTCTCCTTTTGCAGTGAGCCTGCCCCCCCTGTAAAATATATCATGCAGTTCTGCACTGCAATGAAAGTAATTTGAAAAATGGCATATGTATTAGTACAAGAAATTTTCCATAGTGCAGAGCACTCTTGTAGCAAATGACATGTCAAACACCTCATTACAGAGTGTTTAAGTGCCCTGTCAACCTCTGATAGTGCTTTGTGACATGACACATCTGTCACCAGGGAGAAGAGTGTCGGGACAAATGACGTGTACCGAGTGAAGGAGCAGGACCCACCAAGATGACCTTCTCAATGTCTTTGGACGGGCACCAGTGAAACATCCCCGTGGAGTCATATTTCTTTACGTTCTCGTCCATGCTCTCAATCTGCTCGTTTCCCAGGATGAGGAGTGGGTCATGTCTAATCAAACAAAAAGATGGGAGGGACAAAGTGAAATTATATCATCGATTTGAACAAAAAACACATTTTATAAATTAACCATAAGAATATTTGGCAATCTGCAAATAGGTCGCTTTTACTAAAAAAAGAAAAAGAAAAAAAAAAGGTTGCTTTCTTCCTAGTTTTTCCCGCTTCCTCTTTTCGTTTTCCTGTCAGAGGCCATCTGCAGAAATGCCAACAAAACTGCCATGTCATCAAGCAGAGTGACATCAGCAGCGGCAGCCAGGCGGAAGAAGATGGCAGCAACACACTGCGTTGACTGGCATGAGCACGGAGATGCAATTACGCCCCCTTACTGCATACGGCTTTTGACGTAGTGCGCTGCGTGGTAAAAGCTTTAACAGACCAGACTTTAAATATTTCAGCAATTTGCCCAACCGTATTTGCTTTCCAAAGTGAAGGGTATTAATGTTTAAACAGACCATCAGAACTATATAAACTAATTTCACTGGTGAACATTAACGCTGACCACTAAAAGTTGTCTCCCAACACGAGTACCTGCATTTCTATCACGCTTGTTCTGGTCAGGGGGATATGATCTTATGAAGTCATACAGTTAATTTAAATAAAGGGTTTTGATGCATGTAATAGAATAATCAAACACATGATCTATGGTATGAAAAAGATTAACAGAAATTTGTAAGTTACCCAAATTTAACATCTCATCAAGCTGATCCCAAATCCCTTTGCCCTAAATCAACTTTGTCAGATTCAGATCAAAGTTAAAGATGCTGTCTTCTGAAAATCCAGACAACAGTCTTCGGTCTCTGTCCAAAACCTTTTAAATTGTTCAAGTCCTCCCCTCGTAACAAGAGCGTCTCTTTAATCCATCCAAGTACCTCAAAAGAATGGGCACCTTAAGTAACATGTTAAGTATGTATGAAAGTGTCAGCTGAAACTACCATCCCTCAGGCTCCAAGAGACTGAAGCCGAAAAAACCCCCGCCTTTGGGCTCATATACCCCCAGGCAAGACCTGGATGTCCTTTCAAGAATATAAGTAGCAGTAGAGGGAAATGTCTTTTCTACCTCTCTGTCGATGCGGCTTCACTTTGAAAAGCGCGTGTACGATAAAATTTCAATGTCAAAGCGTGCACATGTTTTTTTTGTTTTTTTTAAAGTACAATGTTAACAGAAACGTGAAATAAAAAAATAATTAAATACACTCCAATATATTGAAAGTGGGGGTCCTAAAAACAATGACACTCACTCCCATTTGCTGCTTCTAGACTGTCGGCTGCATGAAATCAGACATCGCCGCTTTTCTTTTTTCTGTGTAATCAAAAGAAGCGGAGGCGGCAGCTTTGATAAACTGTAGGTTTACAGGTTTACAGCCAGGACAATCATAAATGATCATAAAAAACTGGAATTACGGTACTTAAAATCCACGTGAGAGTGCAATTCAAATTCTAATAAGAGTGAAAGCATTTAGTGGTTTTACACCTTGGCTAAATATTCCATCAAAAGTCAAATGTTTCACCACTCACTCAGTGGAGCCGCTGTCACTTCAGTTTGTCCTTGTGAAGATGACTGGTGAGGCAGAGCTCTGCCAGGATAGCTATCGCTCACTGTCAGCCATGACGGCCTGTCACTACCCTGCACTGCCAATTGCCTCAGCAGTTCTGTAACAGACATGACGTGTATGTCACGGCACTCCGATGTGACCAAACGCGTTATGACATCCCGCAGTTAGATGTGTCTTATGACCCATCAAGGAGCCCGTGGAAATGGTGTTAATTTCAGTGAGGTCGTCATTGCTAAGTTCCAGACAGGTCATGTTAGTTTGCTGGAACTAGAAGCGAACCGTCTCGTGGAAACGTGATCGCTTTTTTTTTCCCCTCTTGCGTGGTTTGTTTCGTTAAACAGCGCAGAAGTGTCCGTGACTGTCACTTCTGTGTACTTCTAAAGATTCAAACTGATCAGCAGCATAATTCACTGCTTTATGATGACACGTTTGACAAGACTTCACACATCATTACCCCGAAACATAAGGCCAGGTGTTTTCTGGAGGAGCGTAATGACAGCTGAGAGAGCCATAAAGAAGAAGGCAGACATGCACATTATGTCGATCTTCTAATTCGGCAGCACTGCACTAGTTCTCTCTAACACAAGCACTAAGAGCAGGCAAAGTCTTTGAAAACCCGGCACATCATGAAAACTGACAAAGGCCTGCTCTTCAAAACCCACAGCCAATCTGTTGATCATTACTTATTTACAAAGGCCTTGAGGCCGCGGGTCCTGTAAAAACACATTTGATATAGTATACACCCAGATGTTTTTTTTCTCTGCTTGTTGCAATGAAGTATCCCTTAGGCTACCACGGCGAATCCCTCTCTAGCGTGTAGGCAGCAGACGCTGCACGAAATATCACATCCACCTGTACTGCACAGTATTAGCATGGCAAGTAGATGGATTGGTTTGGTGTGTTGATTTTTTGCTGATAGCATTGGAAAAGCCTGGTTTTGCTTCCCAAGACCCTGGAAATCACCTGGAGCGATTCAACTTTCAAACCACTTTGAACCAAATAAATAAAGGGCAAACGCCCACCTGGAAAAAACAGAGACCAGACATCAAAGGAAATGGTAATGTATGCATACCGACACTTTTAGTTATAATACAAAGCAATATTTTTTTTCCAGAAATAGTGAATGTTGCTGATCTGTACTGTATCTGATGGTATTAAACAAAACAGACATATGTGGGTTTGAATTCCAAATGTCAAGCAGATCGCAGCCATATTAGCAGTGAGAACATAAAGTCATCTGTCAGGTTTAATTAAATTTCATTTGTGCTGTTGCACTTTGTATACATCAGGCTGCAGGTCTTCCCTGTTGCCTGGCTTCCTTATAACATTGCACTTAATGACAGTGACTACTATTATTATCGTCCCTCTAATGGGTTCTTGTTGAATAACAGTGTTATCTCCAGTCAAGATCAATACGCTACGATTTAATTTCACGAGACAAGATAAAAGCAAGGTAGCATTTGAATTCGCCTTTCATTGTGATGATACATATCATCTGTGGCCTTACGTGCTGAAAAGACCTCAGAGGGATCCGACAATAGATGAATAGCCTTGGGCTATCTATCCTTTAGAGCCCCTCTGACTGCCTGGTGCTGTCATTAGTGCCAGGCCTGTTTAAGAACTGTAGTCTGTGGGTGTCACATGAAACCTTGTGGCATAGAGCTCATCTCAGAGGCTGACATATTTTCCATGAAAAAAGGAGCGTAGAAAAATGTTCTTTCAGATGCTCTTTGTAATGCACTGCTTAATCCAACAAGTACTGGTTTTCTTCCTAAAGCACAGGTATCTGTACTTTCTTCATCAAAGCTTTGTTAAAGCTACATTAATGACTATATTTATGTCCCTAAGAGGTTAAATTGATATGTGTAATGTGAAAGAGATTATTTGATTATGCTTATAGTTATAAACCAACAAAGGATTATCACCTGACTGGAGATCCCTGCAGAGTATTTTTATACCGTCCGGCAAGTTGTTTTGGTTTCATTACTCTTATGATGAGCAGGAAGCTAGTCTGTATGTTACCCTCCCAACACTAAGCAACAAATATAATATATAGCTGTTCGATATAACGATATATATCGGATTACGATATAAAAACGTCTATCGTTTCATTTTACGCTATCGTTTCATTTCTTGGTGTCGCAAAATAAACTGTTTACGGCAATATTTTTTCATCGTTTTGATGGTCACTGTAGTGGCTATATTAATTTCTTAAAGTTCTCTCTTTCTCTTATATTTTATATAACCACAGTACAGATGGACAAGCGCCTGTTTTTATGCGTTGTGGTTAGCAACAACGATGGTAAAAGCGTCGCCTGTCCGCTTGTTTATGTTCCACATAAACCTTTCACAATAAAGCTCAAGATCCTGTTGAGACTTTTCAAAATAAACTGAATCAATCAGCAGATTATTTACGGATGAGAATTAAAAAAGAGCCGCCAGGTGCTAAAAAATAAACGTTAGACTCAAACGTTAGAACAGGCTTTTCCCCGCAGCACGCCGTGTAATAAATGCTCACAAAGAAAACGGCGGCCTTTACAACTTATGTCTAAAAATGTATCGTTTCATGCATCGGTTAAAACACTCGACTCCAGCTACACGACGCGCAGCTGGAAACACTTCCCACAAGTCGAGCTGCCCGAGATTCACAGAATTTACAGAAAATGTTACATTTTTGTGATTTATATCGTTATCGGGACGATAGAATTCTTATATCGGGATATGAGATTTTGGTCATATCGCACAGCCCTATAGCAAATATCAACAAAGTTAGCAGCTAGCTGCTGAACATCTTGGAATAGTTTACTGGAAAATAGCCTTAAGATTTCCCTCGCCCAGAGACCCAAGTACAGCTAACAGGAGAGTAACTCTTTGAGTCATCAAGTGAATGCAAACAGTTTCTCTGTATTTACTAGTTGTGTATACAGGCAATCATTTTCCTACTCCTTAATCATAACCAGGTCATTCTGATTCCCATTGTGTCAGAGCTGCTGGTGTCTCACAGATGCACACAACATGGCCTTTGGCATTGACGCAATGATGCAATGGATTCAGTTCAGCAGAGAGCTCTGGCACCCATTGTTCTAGGTCTAAAACTACCTAGAACTAATCAGAAAACCATAGAACACATGAAAGAAAGGTTGAAAGAAATCTGGACAATATGTGGGAGGACACGGGTCATAGAGAGAGGTTTGAAAGTGAGGAGCAGAATCTTGTAATGTATTGGTAAAGAACTATGAACCATTGGAGCTGGATGAGGGGTGTTATATAATTGGTGGACTTGATGCAGGTGATGATGTTTCCTGTCAAATTCGGTACCATTTGGAGCAGATTAAGATGTTCATTGAGGAAACCAGAGAGAACGGCATTACAGGTGACCGGGGCATAAACAAGAACTTGTGTGTTGTGTTGAAAAAGGAAAGGGTATGGGCCGTCTTGTTGTCCTAATTGTTATGTAGGCTGAATGTGAGACATTATTGATGTAAATAATAGAGTATTATCTCATAAAGACTTTTAACACTGGGGGAGGCATGGACTGAAGATCTGTGAAGGAAGCAAAAGGGTGTATTTTGGACAATAGTTCTTTGAACCAATGAGGATAACATGACTTGAATTGCTCTTTTAATTTAAGGTCATTATTTGTCATCTAGCAAGCAATAGCGTAGAGACAACGCTAAAGAACCCCTTTGGTGTCAAACCTGAAGGCATTAATTTTCAACATGTAGGGTTAATGTTGTGATGAATGCATCAGGTGGCTGCCCCTCCCTGAGCCTGGTTCTGCCGGAGGTTTCTTCCTGTTAAAAGGGAGTTTTTCCTTCCCACTGTCGCCAAAGTGCTTGCTCATAGGGGGTCATATGATTGTTGGGCTTTTCTCTGTATCTACTGTACAATATAAAGCGCCTTGAGGCGACTTTTGTTGTGATTTGGCGCTATATAAATAAAATTGAAATGAATTGATAAAGCATAGTTTAAACCAAGCCTAAACCTAACCAAGTAGTTTTTGTGTTTAAACTAAACCGAGCGGTGATTACAGTTTGTTGTGTTTTGTTGCCGTTTAACATTTGGCTATTAAAGAAGCTATCTGTATTTTTATGGTGAGGGAATTTATATGTGTAAAAACCCAAAGACAGATAGCTCCTTGTGGTACCTACCTCATAATCTTAGGTGAGGAGTTTGGAGAATTCCTCATGCCTCCATTACGTTGCTTTTTTTTGGGTGATAGTGCTGATTGTTGGTCCTCTTGAACTGCAACAAAATGCCAAAGAAACAGCGTGATGGCGGGAAATGATCAGAAGTCGAGCAAAGATCCACACAGCAGGGACAACAAAAGAACAGCACAGCACAATTTGAGGTCAGTGAATTCAAAGAGATAATATACATACAGGGACAGAGTGGAAAGAGGTCGGGTGAACAAGATGGAGTGGGACAGGACAATTTAACCAGTGGGTAGCAGGAAACAGTCCAATGTTAGCATAATGCAGACAGGATACATTAGCACATCATTGGCATGGTTGTGTATGGAGATGCAAACATGCAGTAGTGCCATTATCAACCATCATGCCATTTGCTGAAGTTTAATCTGGGAAGCTTTATTTACCATACGCACTAATCCATTGAACTGCTGTAATCCACCTGTCAACAGTTTTATCATTCAGATAATGTAGCACCACAAATAAGTTGAGGGCTGTTAAGAGGGCTGTGATTTCGTAATCACAGATTACTGTACTACAGATAGACCTAGACTCGCATCACTGTTGCTCACACTAATCACTCATCTTCTCATTTAATTAAGGTAATAACCTATAAATATGAAGCATCTAAGACTACAAGCAAAGGTGCTTTGAGTCAGTGTTGAATCCTGGATTTCTGGTCTTTGTTCGTCTTGAGAGTGGTGCCCTTGGCTTATACAATTAGGTTGGTCCTTGTGCCAGAGTGATTTATGTACAGCTGAGATGCCCTTTGGACATTTTCTTTATCACTTCAGCAAACTGCACTGAGCTCTTCATAGGGAACGAGTTATAACTTTTACCCCCGAGTAAAGTAATCAGGCAAATATTTTTACAAGCTAATATCGCAGCTGCAGAAAACAACTCTACTCTGTGGCAGTCGCTGGTAAAATAAATACAAGCAGCAAGAAAAGTGTTTCACTAATAGCACTTTAACAGCCATCGTTCACTGGGAAAAGATTGTTACAGGTCATGGAAAATACACTCGGGTACCTTATAACTGATGGTTCAAGCTGTGAACTGTTTCTTTCTTTTTAGTCTTTTCTGTCTTTCTTTCTTTTTTATACAAAGAAACTGCAATTGCTTTCATTAAAATTAATAAAGTCCCAAAGATCTTGCTCCTCCGCCGACGAACACATGATTTCAAGCACCGCTAGCATGTCGAAGACTGACAACATAATGGAAAACGTTGAAGAAGGGGGGGGGGGGCTTTCCAGTCGAGAGGGATGCTCCAACACACTGGCCCTTCACATCTCGCTCGGCCTGTTCAATATTTAATGTTTCACAGCTGACAGCTGCACACACTGGGTCATTAGTAAGGAATGCTACACATGCAACCACTCCAGACTGGCAAGCACATGCTTTGGTTGTGCTGTTGTTGAGTGCAGGCCTGCCAAACACGCTGAGGGTAAGAGGGATGTGGGGGGATGTGGCCCTTACACTGCCTCTGACTGAGTGTGGCGTTACTGGAGTGACCGGGGTGGTATCTGTATTTCACCGGCAGGCTACGGGCTCGCTGGAGCCGGATGACCTCTTCTGTCACCCCTGGCGGGCGGCCTACCTGGCCTGAGTCCTCGGAGCCCACGAAGCTCAGTCTCAGAGCAGAGGGCTCAGCGGGGGGCAGCAGGCTTCCCTTGCGGTTGTTTACCAAACGGACCGATAAAGCAGCAACTCCGCTACGGGGCCCCTTACAGACCTCACTGGCTGAGGTGTGCTTCAGTTTAGCTGACTTGTACCGATAAGGCTGGATTAAGGGACTGTTGTTTACTGCTAAATGAAGAGGAGTCAAAGTCAGCAGCTATACAATACTTATGTTTTTTTCTTCAGGTGTTAGTTCACTCAAATCACAGAAAACACAGTTCCCCTGTTAATTCTTTGGATATCTGTCTCTTTGGGTAGTATTTGCAGAAGGTTTGAAGAGACAGTGCAAAACTAGGGAATAAAATTTCATTTGTGATGCTAAGAAACACTGAAAAACAAACTGACAAATGATATTACCGTGGTCTGGGATAATCTTCATACCATACCGAAGAATAGAAACAGCTCGCAGTGGATGCTGTAGAAACATAGCTGGCGTTTTTCTAATCTTATTTTAATGCCGTGAGAACCACGATAGGAAAAAAAAAGCTAAAGTTATCTAAATGAGAAAGCAGAATATGGCACTTTCTTTATGATTTTAGCAAACGAATCCTTTAATTCTTGAAGCTAAACACAAGGTAGGATTTGATTTAAACTGACTTCCGTAAGACCAGCAGTGTGTATGTTAATAAAACATCTTGTGACTCTTATCATAATTAAAGGACAGTCACTGGTTTAGGGGGGTAATTCTTTCTGGCACAAGAATGCTAATGGCTGAATAATTTAAAAAAAAAAAAGCTCATTTTTATTTAACACCACTTAACCACTTCCTGTAGCCACCAATGAAAAGCTGGATTTGACGTTTACTTTGATATTTATAATAAACATGAATTAATAAATATGCTTTCAGGTGTTTTAGCAATTGTTATGCTACCAGAACAAGGAGGTGACAGTGTGAATCAGCAGCCACTAGCTGCTACATGCAGTTTATGCCTGATGAAGGAGGGAGGAATGAATTCGATATACATTTTAATACTAGCGATATAATAGCGGTGAGGCTGGTAAAGATAAAAAGAGACAGAAGAGCTGTGTTTTCCTTAGTTCAAAAATGTCTGGGAGCTAAAACCGGAGAAGAGAGATGATTATTTCAACAGTCAGCTGTCTAGCAGATTATCCTTCCTGCTCCAGACCTCCACTATTCATCTGCCCCACGTCAAACATGCACAGCACTTCTCCAGGACAACGCAATGTGGCAGATTTGCTGCCTATCACAGATCCTGTTAAAGTGGACTACCCACTAGTTTCACACTCCTGTAAGCGTTGGACGAGAGCTGAGAGAGTTTAAGATCGGCTTTTTGCATTTAAATATGTTTTACTCAATTATGCGAGGCTGAAATGCTTTTCTTGCATACATTTAATTTGAATGTTTTTAAGTGATTTTGTCCAGACTTGGTTTATCCACAGTCATGGTGAAGATGCCATAAGTGTGCTGCTGAGCCCTAACTCATACCTAACACAAAGAATCAACTCAAAACTGTTCCCTAATGCTATGCATAAGACACACAGTCATGGATGATGATGATAGACTGGACAGCGAAATACAGCAGGTCAGGGACAGCTCAAATATTAATAGCTGACAATGCACAAATGGAGGGGTTAGACACAAGTGAGTCGAGAGAAAGAGAGAATGGAAATCAAAACTTACTTGATTTGATATATCCATTATAGCTATTTTTAGCTGAGAAAAATGCAGAGACGGATGAGAGGTTACAGAGAAGAACAGGTCGTAATGAGAGCAAATTATAAGTGACGACTGTGAGCGGAAAGCTGAGGGATTTCTCTTGAAGGCACTTAAAAAAAATTGAGGCCGTGGAGACAACACGGACAAAGCAATGAGAAGTAAAACAGGTCGGTTAGAAATCTGATTTTCAGAGATGTGGGCAGTAATTTAAGAGTAGCTCGCTGTCTATGTTTGTAGTCATCTGCTAAATATCTACGGTGTCACTCTAAGCAGTGATTTGGCTATTTTCAAGTCAAAAGAGGACCAGATATCTTGGCTACCTTTAAGTTTAGATGAAAAGCTTCTTTACTCCCATTAAGAATTTAAGACTGAAATATTACCACGTTTGTGTGACTGATAATTATTTATTATTAGCAGTTATTTAGTATCAGTTATTATAGCTGCTCATATTTACCCTCCAGTGAAGGCTAAATGTAAGTTTAGCAGCATTAAGTGAATACTCAAGTGAGAAGCAGGTTTTTATATATCATATATTTTCAGCTTGACATGTTCAATCAAAAACACCTACAATAAACTCACCAGCGCACAAAACTTAAGAAGCGTTACTGTCTTATTTTTGCCTACCCATGCCTGAGACAACCTGCACAGATGTGTGTAACGTTCGGTGAGTCCCACACATGCTCATTAGTAACTTATTTCAACCCCTTGCTTACATTAAAGGTCACGCATTGAGCTTAAGGCAGGACAGTGACAGCAATGTTCAAACAGGGACCGTGCTGGTCCTGGCATCTGTCGCCTGCAATCGGAGGGCGCGAGCAGAGTCACAGGACTAACAGGCTAGCATCTGTCCCACAACAAGAGAAAAGGAGAGGGGCGGGGGCACTCGGCTGCCTGGTGGTTAGAAACTGTCAGGCTGAGTTTCATGACAACCGGTAGCACTCCAAAAATGAAAATGCAAACATAATTTCCACGTCAGGCCGCATAAGGCCTCGCTCCACGCATCTCCCGCACCGTGTCGACAGCAACTCTGGAGCTCTTGCTCGAGCTTTTCTAGCCAGGCCACGCTCACAGCACACAACCCTGGGAGACACACTGCGGGGTAAAAACGCCCAGACGTGTTCAGCTATACGAATGGTTTTTGATCAAGAGTCATTCACTAAAAATTTATGACAGTCTGCAATGTTTTCCAGCAAATTGTATCAATGCTCTGCAACCTCAGACACATTCTTCGTGCCTCCTGCGACACATCAGTACGATTTAACATACCCCCTGGCTTAAAAAGGGAAATCACACTTGAATTAGGAATTCATATGCAGTTCAATCTGTTAAAGTCCGCTTGTTAAACTCCAATATGATCCAGCACTCTTCTACCATCTTTTATTCCTCTTATATTCCAACTCTACTGCTTTGTGTTCTCAATTTAATCACAAATCAGCAAAAACAACCAATAACTTTGTCTGCTTTGCAGATTTTACCCCCAGTTCTTGTTCAAGCTGTTGATTATAATTTAATAAAACCCATATGTTAACCTCAATATGTACTGTAATAGTCATCATCACAATATCCCCTCAGGTGCTCTCAAGAGCATTATTTACTAAAAAAAGAAAAGAAAAATTAATCGTCGGAGACGTCTACATTTACAAATACCTCAAATCCTATCCTGTTCACCCATTTCTCCAGGGTACAGTGGTGAGATATTATTTGATATTATTTTTTTTAATGTTATGTTATGTCTCCAGTGACATCATTGTAAGATTTAGACAGTCCTATCAGAATAATTATTTGGGAAAATGCACAGTAACTGTGCATTGTGAGATTTTTTGCAGGGATGCACAGCTGTACATTGTTCATGGCTTTGACTTTTTTCTAATATATTTATGAGGTCACTGGAGGGAAACAAATACTGCTCTACACAGCAAAAGGTTTGCATTAGTGACTGTCAATCTAATTTTAAACTACGTTTCAATTTGAATTCACGTTCTCTTGACAAAACACCAGCAAAACAATAGACCAGCATGCTTCACTGCAAAACGTAGCAACAGACAGAGAAGAGCACCAAAAATCAGAAAGCTAAAACACCAAAGCAACATCTACATCTGTGACGGTGACAACACGGGTGCTTAAATTTGAAAGCACACAGAAGTAAAGACACACGGTGCATGTTACAACACTGAAGAGCACATGTCATGGCGACAACTTACAGGCACGTAAAGTGGCTGAGCAATCATTAACAGAGACAGCAGAGAGTGGGATGTCCCGTTGAGGGGAGTCCATGTTACAACGCACATTAACCGGCATGCAAGTGCAGTCCCGCTCTGAGCGACCGCAATCAAAACAACATGCCAGTTTCATTTTCTTGTAGGCAGGCTTCTTGGCTACAGTCAAGGGTTCATATGGGAGGAGAGGAAGAGCAGGTTAATGTTGAGGGTCATTCTGAGGGAAGAGGGGATAGAGGAAGAACAGGGCATGGAGGACGGCTGCTGCTGGGATGTACAAGATTAACCTTTGTTGTGCCGCTTACACTAGTATTGGCATCCTGTAAACCGACACCCTTTCCCCTCACGTGAACATGACCCCGTGACCTCAAATATGGTTTCTTTAACCTTTTCAGACTTTTTGGAGACTTTTACCCAACAAAATCCTAATAACGCTAACACAGATTTAGCTTGTTTGGGCTTAGTGTCACTTTACTATGTGATGAAATGTTTTTCTATGTTCACTAATTAACTTGCTAATGAGCCAAGCATGAACATCAAATGGCAAATTTTGGTCTTACAAAGGCCAATCTAACATAAGTGGAGGTTAAAGACACATAATGCATGTTTAATTGGAATAAATAAAACATTTATATATGCACAATTTGATGATTTATAGCTATTTTTTTTTGCAGACCACTTGGCTATGTGTCATGGATCTGGATTCTTCTCTTAGAGCCATTGAGTCATATGAGATATAAGGACAATAATATTTCATTTTACAGCTCTTAAATATTTACATTTGTTACTAATGCTTATTAAGAACAGGAAATGACAGAAATCTCCTAAACAAAAGACTAAAGATGCTGGTATTTTACAAAAACAGTATCACTTCTACAAAAACCTGCAAGTGCCTTCAGAAAAGACAAAAAGAAAAAAAAAACACTTGAAAGCGTTTATAGTGCATAAAAGCACACATAAGTTAGATGATCCATATTCCATGACAGATTTGCTATTTTTTCCTGAAATATTTCTCTTAAAAGATATGCACACATCTCTGTGGATTACATCACTTTAGTATGGATGCCAATTTTTTCCCATAAAAAATTAGTAAGGAGTAATAAGGATAAAGGTTTTCCAGTCTTCATCCCAGTCTGTTTCTCACTGTGGTCTTTATGCAGGGGTCTTGTGCTTAATAAAGGGCAGCAGGGCCATCTGGTGGTGATGTGGTGAATTACTAACTCAAGTAGGCATGAATGCTGCAGTGTTTACGTTTGAGCAAAAAAAAAAAAATCTACTTCTGCTCTGCAATTTTTTTGCAAAATCTATACTGTTGCTAATTTCTTTTGAAAGCTATAAAATTCTATCAAAAGAACGAACAAAAAACAACGTGCACGTGACAACAACAAGAGATCCAGGCAGCATCAACCATTGTACATGCAACATTTAGAGTACATTCAAACAGGTCACTTTAATCTGAGGTACACTAGCACGCTGTGTTTTTGAAGGGGAAACAAATCCACATTACTCACAATATATCACTATTAAGCAGATTTTTAAAGAAATGTGTGCCAAGTTCCCAAGCAGCAGGAAAAGAATACATCACATGTCAATGTTAGGTGTTAGCTTTAATACTAGAGACAAACTGTGGTTTATCCAAGCAGAAGAACATGTAGCACGCGATGTTTATAAGGTTTTAGAAACACGTGATCCGTCCAGGTACCTGTGGTGTTAACAGTCTCTCTGAATGCCTGTTAACATCACAAAGTTATCAACAGTGAACACAGCTACTATACAGAAAACAAACAAAATGCACATTTAGACTGAACTAAGAGGTCTACTATGTGTATTTATAAGAGCTGGGAATCACATGGAAAAGATAGCATGCTATAAACACTATGTATGAGTGTGTCTGTTAGAAGAGACGTCTATCTGAAACACTCTGAAGGAATCAGTTCATCCAAATCCACAAAAAACATACATTTTGAAGGATATCTGAAACCTCAGCATGGAAAAACCAAAACTATTTGCATGATGAGAAAGTTTGAAAGCATTTTTTCATGTAATTTGGGGGAACTGACCCTTAAATGAGAGCAGGTATTCATCTCATACAGAGATCCAAACATGTAGTTCTACATGGGGAAACTTTGAGTGCTTCAGTTTGTTTTGGCTGCAGAAAGAAATCTGATCTTTCTACATGCACAACTTACAAGGCTTCATTTCAAGGAATAATTAATGTAAGAAATAAGTGGTTGGGACAAATGGCTATGTATAGTAGGTCATGTAAATACGCTGTCACCCAGCTACTCGAATGCTAACTCATTATATTTCAGTTTCATCTGAGCAAGAAAATAATGGGATCAATCTAACTTAGATCTTGTGTTTGCATGCAATCACACTTACATTTCTTGCATCCACATTTCTTTATCCTTTTGGGATCAGTTATGTCATCGTGGCAGGCCTTACAATAAAACAGTGCCCTGCGGAAGAAAATCAAGAACAGCATGAGTGCTCAATAAATTGTTTACACATATTTTGTCTTTACTATGGCTGCACAACATCTGCAACAAGTCATTTTAATTTGTGTGCAATCAGTTTATTAACAAAAAATTAATGAAGCATCCAATGCATTTGTCAATGTTTAATGTGCCAAAAGTTGAGCAAAGAGTGTGCAGCTCTATGAGAAGTTCAGGACCAGTTTTAAATTAAGCTTTGATCTTTCATAAGGGCGCTGCAGTTTGTCTCATGCTGTGCCCTCATAAATCTTCTGATCCCCTCTGGCAGGTAACATCACCATCCAACCTCGGCTATATGTACTGTACCTTTAATCTGTCTTTGAATGTTATCTTTGTCCAAGCAATGAGCAGATACAAGCTAACAGCCAACATTCCTCTTTGGCCTCAGCAGTGCAACTCAAGGATCCATGAACCGCTGATAAATCACTTCAGTCTGGCCAATTAAACATGCAAAATATGGCATTTTTCTAAGAGCAAACACAAAAGCCAATATACACTTACTGGCCGATTTGTTAGGTGCACCTGTTCAATTTCTCCTTAATGCAAATATCTAATCAGCAACTGCATGCATTTAGGCCTGAAGACATGGTTGGCCCTGCTAAAGTTCAAACTGAGCATAAGAAATGGGAAAGAATGTGACTTTGAATCTTGGTGTTGGTCCCAGATGGATGGATTTACTGTCCTACTGGGATTTTCCCACAGTCTAGGGTTTACAGAGAATGGTCCAAAAAGGTGTATGGCAGTTCTCTGAGAGAAAATGCCTTGTTGATGTCCGATATCAGAGTGGCCAGACTCCTTCAAGCTGGAAGGTGACAGCAAAGGTGCATCTAGCAGCCATTAGAAGCTCAAACCATCTCAAACTGCTTTCTTGAACAAGACAATGAGTTCAATATACTCAAGTTGCCTTACGATTTCATCATGGACGTGTGACCAAGAAATCTGCAACAACTGTGTGATGCTATCATGTCAACATGGGCCAAAATCTCTGAGGAATGTTTCCAGTCCCCTGTTGAGTCTATGCCATGAAGAATTCTGAAGGCAAAAGAGGGTCTAACCTGGTACTAGAAAGGCGTTCCTAATAAAGTGAGTGAGTATATTTGTAAGCTCTGGCAACATGTAGGTAATACTAACAAAACAAGCGTTTGCAATTTTCCTACATGTAATAGCTCAAGATACAGAAACCGTATGACATGCAGACCAACAAAGGCACTATTGCAGAAACAAGACTGGAATTTAATCAAACGATTGAATCTCAGGTCTCATTCATTACCTCTTTACTTCTTTGGCATCGCTGGCAATAAAGAAACCCAAGGTCCCCTCCTGCATTTTCACGTGGTTTCCAGGGTTTATCAGGGTGCTGTGAGGATTTGTAGACCAAAGATGTCAAAGCAGAAAGTTATATCACAGAATTTGCAAGGCTTTGCACTAATCACTGCGTCTGGCACACGCTGCAGGGATTAGTTTTCACAACTCATTTGGCAGGATAGCCCCTGTTTATTTAATTAAGTTGATGAAAGCAGATAGCACTTCAAAGAGTATAAATGAGCATCAGCGTGTTAGAGAAACTACTAAAACAAAGCTTCTGCTGTGCTCAAAGAAACCAACTGCCACCTTCCCCACTAATTTGTCACGATGTTATCGGAGAGCCCTGTGATGTCTGTGAATAAACCCATTTAGACATCAATTTAGACACATTGTGTAAAGCACTTGTGTTTGCAGTCAAACAGGGAAGCTGATTCACAGTAGCTGAAAGCAAATACTGACACCTGCGTATTAAAGTTTTTGCATGCATGAATTTTAATGCCCCGACTTACCTGCTTTCCCCTTGATCAGACTTGTACTCTATAGCTATCAGCAGCAGCTTTAGCTTCACATAGCAGAGTCTGTGAAGGGGAATAACAATATAATTAGACCTGAGGCACACTAAGTACTTTTAGTTTGAAATCTTCTTAGCTTAGGGTGCCACTTTCTTTTTTCTTTTTAGAGGATGAGAACCTGTTTATCCCTAAATTATTTACACTTAGATTTAGGTTTACACTTTCAAATATTTTAATATGGGATAAATATGGGATTTGACAGCCTATAAAGTATGGAGCCCTTATGCGAACGCCATGTGCTTCCTCGCTATAACTAATTTAACCTACCATCTCCAAAAGCCTGGTTATTTAATACTTGCATAACAATTATCTTTGGATCTTTAAATTCTAATGACTGCAGTTTAAACATCTAAATTACTTGCATCCAGGAATGAAAAAACAACAAGTACCAAAAAAAGGGGGTAAAATAAAATGTTTTAGTTTTACGTACTCGCAAATTACTGGGAAGGACAGACCCACAAAGGCACTGGACAGGTACTCTGTGTACATTTCATTGGCTACTCCTTCAAGGTAATACTTCTGCCATGTATCCTCCTCAATCTACAACAAAATAAAGAAGGTTATACAAAAATATAAAAAGGTGCAAGTTTAAGATCATCACCACCCGCTCACCAGATGCTGCATACGGGCCTCATCTGGGATAACCATTATTATCTATTCAGACTTTGTTTCTTGGCCAACTTTATTTTTGAACTTAATCCAGTGAGCACAGATGGATCAGTGTTAGTTGCAGCTACCTTGATGAAGGACCTCATGGAGAAAAGGTTGGCCAGCATGGTGGAGAGGCCCTGAGCCAGGCAGCTCTGGGCGATGAACCCGAGCTTGAGTTCTGCAAGGCAAATGGCGTCATCTCCCTCCTTCCAGTTCCAGCTTGGGATGTTCAAAAGGTGGGCCTGAGGGGAAGAGGAAAAGGAAGTCAGGCTACAAGGTTCATGCTGTTAGAAACTAAGACAGACAAATGATTCAGTGATCAGATCTTTTCAACATATACTGAAACGTAACTAACTTTAACGGAGTAACTAAGTGACTCCAGCAGGCTTTATAGTTGATTAATACAAACCTTATTGTGGTACTGCAACATTTGAGTGATTATCCTGATCTTTGGGTGGTAGTTCTTGATAGATATTACTCTGATAAAGGACAAAAAGAAAGCAATATAAGAATATCTGCAGCACTTTCAAAAGTTACACAGATTTTAAAAAAAAAATCGGATTCACTCTCTTTTTATAGAAATTAAGTATCGTAGTCGACTGTATGCTTTTAACAATTTTAAGTTTGCATTTTATTTTATAGTTTAATATTTTAAACTAAAGGTTCAAAAAAATAGAACAAGAGAGTTGCATAGTAACATATTCCTAGATCCAGCTACAAAATGCTGACTTTCTCTCTGTCTGGGAAGAACTGATGTCAATCTGACCATTACCAGTTCAGCCTGTTCTCCGAATTTACAAACCTACAACTTCTACCAAAAAATAAATAAATCAACCTGGAAGAAATACCATTGTTAACAATTTCAAATTACTATTCAACCAAATGAGACGTACATACAGAATCTCTCACTGGATAACGGCAAGAGGGTTTTTTAAAATATCTTTTATAGTCATAGGGAAGTTGACCTTTAAACCTTTGGATATAAAATGTCACTCTTAGACATTTGTGTGCAGTCATACTCTGCCCAAGCACACAAAAAAGTCCGTTTTTGGCTGGCAGCAAGTTATTTATTAACCACAGTTGTGAGTAGTTTCTCTTTTCCTAAACTGCATTATTAGCCTAACTAAATGTGGGTTAAGAACAGTCCAATGCATTATCAAATATACCATCATCGTTAAGGACGAAATGTGGTTGGAAAACAAAAGAAACCCAAAACTTTATCTACTTGATCTTGATAAGGGAAACAAACATCTGGTGAAATCAAATGGTAAGAAAACAACAGTAAATCTCACGGGTATGTTTAATAGTGAAAATAGCAAAGTGAAGAGAATTCTCTCAGAGACATTGGGACTAAACAGCTGAGGAGCCTTTAAAAAACAATCAGTGAGGATGATTGTTGGACTTTTCCTTTGAGTAGCACATAATATCTGGTTGTTTTCTTTATGACTAGATTCTCAGTTTAGTTTTATCTTTAATACCTTTTAATCTAGTTTCTGTTTCTGGTTATAGTTTATATTTAATTCCTTGAGTGTCATATCATCCCACTGTCACTGTGTCCTTCTGTTTCTTGCTGTTAAGTCTATGTTTTAGGTCTTCCTGTTTTCTTTCAGTAGAATTCTTTCAATGAATTTTTGGATTCGTTTATTCTCTGTTCTGGATTTTTGATGGACTTTCCTTACTCCACTTAAATAAAAGTTATTTTTGTTATTTATTAAGAGCCACATCGAGTCCTGCATTTGGGTCCTTCTGCCAACACCACCTGTATGCCTACCGTACACGCCTGTGGGGACAGTGTTATGATCTGGGGTTGCTTCACTTGGTTGCGTCTACATTCAGCAATGTTGCGTGCCCAAAACATGGTCCGGCACGAGACATCATTTTAATACACGGAGTGGTCACCATAGAGTTCAAGAAGGGGACCTTTGACTGTTTGACCACAAAATACAAATCATTTCCTTTGAGTCCTAGTGGACATTTGTGACAAATGAATAAATTTCATGTCCAGGAGAACATATGGGAGAGATGCACAGACAGACAAGACGGCTCTACTATAATGATTATGTATTAATCACACAGTGTTTAGATTAGAATCAAGCTGTGATGATTTCTGCAGCACATTTTAAACGTCTTAACCCTTTTAGATGGAAAAGAAATGTCACATAATGACTCTCCGACTTTTTATAGCTAAGCAATTTAATCTTCAGTGGAAAACCTCCAATCCTCAGACTTCATTATCGAACAGAGCTATTAATAACACAATTTTATTAACCAAATTTTATCTGCCTTGCCCTAAAACAGACTGTTCCCATCACTTTTAAAATATGTTGTACTCTCATATATTATCCACTTGATAATCCCTTAAACCCATTAAAATAAGTGCAGTTTCCACATCCAAAACTACGACTCAATCCACTCCGAAAATGTCTTTTTCTCTCAGAATCCAGCTGAATGTGATTGTTCATAAAACAAATCGAATAAACAATGAAAGCAGGAAAACATAAATCATGATTTGGTTATGCAGTACCTCATGATGTTGGATGCATCCTCGGCATCGGGGTCAGCGCAGTATTTGTTGGCTAAGATCAAGCAGGCGTCAGCTGATTCAATCTAAAACAAAATTGCAAATAGCAAAGACAAAAATGAACAATCACATCAAGTATTCAGTCAGACGATAACCAACAATATTACAGAGGAAGAAGTATTGACAGTCAGGTACCTTGACTCTGGCCAGGTCGTGTGGATTTAGGACAGATCCTTGGTAAAACTCTACCTGGGTGAAGTGGCGCTTGAACAAGGCTTCCAGCTCAAGATTAGGGGAAATACTGAGAGACAGAAAAAACAAACACTCTTAAATCAGAGAACTCTCTAATCTCCTAAAGTTTAGTTTTTTCCTCCTAAACAATGACATTTGCACAACGTTTTGTACTTACTTATGGAGAAAAACAATTTCTACATTGACATCATCCCTGTCCTTGTGTAGGAAGTCTTTTAGAAAGTTGGATACACTTTCAAGTGTTATGTGACCACAAACCACGATGTGCCTAGAGAAAGGAAGTGCAGAACCATAAGGAAACTCAGAACAAAAGCACACATCTTTCATCTTTTCCATCTTCATCTTTGAGCTGAAATCAAAAGGTAAATGTGAGACGAGGGGCTTGTAACGGACATTTAGGTCAGTGATTTAGAATCTGTGATAAAAACTACGATAGAGGAGGGATGAAATCCAGAGAGCTCTCTGGATTTCAGTATCAGATTATAAAGGATCAGTTTACTTAGAGGAAGATTATGAAATGAGCGCACAGTCTATGTCGATCCCTACATATCATAAACCCTTTATATAAAGAACCCAGTTCAGATTATTTTTCCAACTGTGCTTAAAATATCTTTATTAATTAAATTATTCTGTGTAAATTATTTTGTCTTTTGCACCGATTTGCAAGAACAGTCACAGCTGGAAATACTGCAGTGGTTCTTAAAGTACAAAATACGCATCAGTATCACTTATTTTCTAATAATCTAGAGTAACAATAAGTAACTCAAAGAAAAACACATACTTTCCCGTAAGAAACAAAAAAGCAATGATGCCGACAATTTTATCGAGCTTTTAAAATCACCACAAAAAATTTTAATAAATGCAAAATAAGCATGATGGGATACTTTTTCGTTTCAATTTATAAACTGCGATTTTAAATTAAAAAAGCACAAGAAGCATATACTTGGTTTAAGAAAACTTCCCAAACCAAGTCTGGTTTCTTTCAAATCGTACCAAAAGCATGCTACCAGAAACCACGACTTTAAACTCTGAGGCATCTAGCAGAATCTCCCTGTCTTTAGGCTAGATCTTATGGCTAAAAAGGTGTTGAAGGAGTAGTTTGGCATTTTGGAGAATACGCTTATTTACTTTCATATCAAAAGAAATATGCCATCATACAATTTGCTTGCCTTCTCCTTAGCTGGGGAAACCAGCAGCCCTGGCTCTAGTTTGAGTTGAAGAAATCAGCACCTCTCAAACTGCTTAAAAAGTGTATTAATTAATTAAACAAATTCATACTGGCTGTAGTTTTTTGTTCGTTTGTTGTTTTCAGAAGGCATTGTGTACTTGCGTGTATTTTTGAGCTGCAATAACATCATTTGTTTTTAATTAATTCCGTTAATTGACGCCTTTATTTTGTGTTCTTTAATTCAATACGTAGTATTATTAGTTAGTGGTACACAATAGCATTCTCTGTTTTAATAAAAAATAATAAAAAAAACAAGCTCAAATGTAGAATTTTGTGGGCAAGGACAAAAGCTCGGGGTTTTCAATAAAGCACGGGGTACTTGGCTCCGTTCGAATCCGACCTCTCTTAATTAGGAGGAGAACAGAAACACAGCGGTGAGCCTCGGGGTGCCTGAAACTTTCTCCTTTGGAAACAGGAACTGCACTGATTTATACTGCTGTCAGATGGACTGATGGACTGCACCACGCCCTCCATGTATCACTTGCTGGAAAGCACATCGGCTCCATCTCCACTGCACTCAGACAGTAACGCATTTTCCGAGTTGCTCTCACTTGTCTTCATTCTTTTCATATTTGTTGGTATTATAAGCAATAGCGCAACAATAAAAACTGCTGCAGAAGTGCAGCCTATGAATTCAGAAGTATAACTTGGTTTTCTGGCTATGTAAGAACATTTACATTTATTGTTATTAAAGAAAAAATTAACCCTTTTCAAAAAATTTAATTTTTTTAGTTTGTTTATGAAAACTATTTTGTTTACTTTATTCTTGAGGCAGTCCTTCTGAAGTAACCATCAGGAAATGTGTTTTGTTTTTGGCATTTCCTCTCTGTAGCACAAACAGGTGCTACAGCTTAAGAAACGTGGTGCAGCTGCATCAATTCAAACTTAGTGCTGGAAGGCTTTATAACCCACTGCCATGTAAGGCTAGCTGTTTTGGAACTTCACTTAATGTGGTGGACCCTCCACACCACTGTGCAATAAGACTGAAAGTGTGTATGGCCTTTATATTGGATGAGGATTTCCTCATCCACACAGGGCCAAAGTAGAAAAAGTAATGAGCTGGCCTACTGCTTACTCAAGGCCAGATCATATTAGCAAAACTGGAGTGCCACACAGTGGGTGCCTCATGCACACCACAAACTACTTGACCTCTCACAGAATAGGCCCAGATACTTCTTGCAACCTGGGTAGCTTCATATTTAAGACAAAAAAACAAAAGCACTGTATGTTTTTATTTATTTAAAGGAGACTTAAAGCTTTTCCTAGTTATTTGTCATATTGTTGCAAAGTTGGATGCTGATGATAAAGGTGGGCAAAGTTTCAAAGGTCAGCATATGTGTAATATGTGACACAAAAGCTCAGTTTTTCAGACTATTACAAATATTTCACACAGTGGTTTTTGTTTGTTTTTTACTTTTCATTCTGCATGAAGTCATTGAGAGATCTTTAATATGGTCATCTTGGGCACAAAGCTCTAGCTGTGAACACAGAGCTAAAACAGTCTACTTTAGCTAACAAATCAACTGAGGAGCTGCACCAATGACCAATGCCACATAAATGAGAATTTGAACTATGACTCATGCAAAAAGTCCAATAATAAAAAACATGGGACAAGAAATGAATGTAAGAGTTCCCTTTTAACTTGAGGCAAGAAAGCTAATAAGAATATTCCCCAAACTGCCAAAGCATATCTTTTAAACTTCGCCTTCAGGGTGTAGGTCAGACTGAAGATTAAGGCCAAGACTGTTGAAATAGCAAAGCATGGAAACATCACAAGTGGAGCAGGGCAATCAAAGTGTTTCCAGGCATACAAAAACTGATCTTAGCAAAAATCACTATGAAGCATGAAGCAATGGTACACGACAAAATGTATGACTTTAGCATTTTCTTCAGTGCTGAAAATGCAGGTGAGCTAAAGTATATGATTTTCTCAGAATTACTCATTGATGCCTAAATGGCTGTCCTTCAACCGAATTATATTATTACTGTATGTTATTATATAATGATTGAACTTCAAAAAAAAAAATCATAATTATTTCTCACTGTGTGTCCTTGACATCCATATTGGTCTTTCTGTATTATGTTAAGTTAGCTCCAATGTAATTTGTTTTTCTCGTTTTATCTTATTAAGACTGTTTGTCTGACATGAATTGGAGTTTGAGTGATGAAGGAGAGGATGGGTGAACAAAATGTAAAAAAAAAAAAGAGAGAATAAATGGAAACACTTGATTAACAAACACACATTTGGCGCACACACACTAACAGTAAGCAGCCTAATTACATCAAAAACAACCAGGATTTTCTCACAGTAAAATGATCAATCATGACAAAACTGTGAAATCTGGAAAGAA